AAAGTCGAAAAAAAATGATTAGGAAAAGTATAGTTTTCCATTAATAATGGGTTCGTTTAAAATTCTAACTGATAACAAAATACAGCTCTGTTATATTTTTGGGGTGTACAAACTTTTGGTTTATCAGACAACTTATAGATTTTATATCCCATAATTTATACAGTCGATCGATGTTTCCATCTTCCCGGGTAGGGAACCCTATATGTAAGTCGATGATGTTGGAATCGGGGGACTATATCAATTAGCCTTAACAGAATCGATCGCCAACTAGACCCAACTACAGTTGTTAAACACAACTTCTTGTATTTAATTAAATTATTAAGGTACTCACTAAATATTTTAATAAATATTATTGTTATATGTCTTTGATAAACCTTAATTTAATGAAAAGGTTAACTTTTCAATCATTTTGTACCTACTATATTTTCTTCAATTTTCTTAATTGATTGAAAAATTAATTTTACTTTGGGAAAACTCACTTAAACTTGAAGCTTTCGATTTCATGTGCTAATAAATTGTATTAAAAAGAACTGGTGGTTTTATGGTGTGAGCCGAGTCATCAGCATGCCTTGACATTAAACCCCATCAGACTTGGGGCTTGAACTTCATTAAACGGCGGTGATGAGGTGACTCTGGGAACCGCATTTAAGACCGACTGCCGAGTGCAATGACTTCCCGCACAGCTGCAGTTTTTCCTGCGGCGGTTCGCTTATCGAGCGCCCAACCGCCAACGCATTTGACAACATTTGTTTCCTCATTACTCGTATAGCCGGGGATTTCACCAGCCAGCCGAGTTGAATGTTAATTGCGCGATGCTGCGAGGAAGCATCTCTGCGGCATCTCTGCGGCATCTCTCGTCGTGCAAAAGAAAGTGAAATGGAATGGAAATGGAAATGGAAATGGGAAGCGTGGAAAGTCGGCAAGAGGTGGAGGTGAAGATGTCTGCCCAACTACCGCAGGGTTCACAATCGGTCAGCTGGTGCTGTTTTTCAGTTTTTCAGTTTTCCCGCTTTTAAGCCTTTCAGCAGGAGGTGCCTGCTGCCTGGTGCTCGGTGCTCGGTGTCTTGGGGTCAACCGAATAATTTGAACGGTCAACGAGTGTGGAAGAGTTGCAAACGATCGTTATGTGACGGCAATGCTGATGACGCTGATGAGCAGGAAGAAGCGACAACTGTTCGAGGAAACCAGCGATGACAAATGGCCACGAATGCTTCCTCAAATCGAAAGTTGATGCCTTTCAAATATGCAACATGGAAAAATATTTAAATTATGTTTTATGATCCTATTGTACATAACATATGTTGTATTGTAAAGCAATCAAATATTTTATACGTAAAAAGATATAAAAAATTTAAAACTATTTCCCAATAATCTTTATATTTAATTCATTTAGCACTTAATAAGAGAAATATAGCAATTTTTATGTTTTTTGAATAACAAATTATATTTTTGTATCTTTTTCGCCACGCGTACATTAAAATTTCAACCTCAAAATGGTAGGTGAAAAATCTGGCTAGTGTGCCTCTGCAAGTTTGTGTGTTTTTAAATTTAGTGCTAATGCGTACAAGAAAGAGGCGTACCAGCCGAAAAATAATAAAGTGCTAATAATTTCTGTGCAAAATTATGTGGCCCCGACTCCACAAAAACGTTCCCCTGGGCACAGCTAAGTTCGATAGCCGAAACGCTGAAAGCCAGGGCATAAACAAACCAGAAAAGAAATCTGATCTAGGTAGATAAAAACGGTTTAGTACTCTTTCAGAAGCTTTGTATTTTATTACTAAAGTAGAGGTGGCTAAATATTATGTAATTTATTATAATATATTCCGTTTAGTTAAGAATTTAAATAACTTACATACAACCTGTTGTATTTTCTAAATTGGCTACAATTTAACACGTTTTTTTAATGACTTCCAATATTATAATATATTACGTTTAGTGAAGAGTCTAAAAAACTTACCAACAACCTGTTGTATTTTCTAAATTGTCCACAATTTAACACGTTTTTTAATGACTTCCAATTATTTTTTATTATTTAATATCTTTATAAATGAAGATATTAATGAAACTTGTTATACTAAATATTGTAATATGACTTAACAATTATTTATTTTAAAATAAAGTACTAAGATTGATAACAAAATCTCCACAAGCGTACCCTGGAAAAAGTGTGGTGGCCAAAATTAAACCAATTTGCATTTATTTCTTTTCCTCCCGCCAAACGCAAATTGCTTGCCATATCTACTCGAAATTTGGTTTATTGGTTATTGCTTTTGTTTTACTTTTTTGTGGCCTGAAGCTTTTACCATTGTAAAGAGATTGGTTTGGGCATCTGACAGATACACGCGCGTAATTAAGTTGGGATACATAAACAATAAAAAAAAACTACTGCCAAATTGCCTCCCACCCTCCGTTCGTTCGTGGGACGAAGGTTGGCCAAAATAAATCAGCTAACAAGACCGAACAGCAATTAAACCGAAGCAAAATCATATTTTTTGCTTATGATTTTGTAAATATTTGTGGGCTGTTTGATTTTGCGGCGGGTATATGTCTATTTAGCTGCCTATGATAATTACGCATAAATATTTCTTGTGATTTCTTTTCTCGGTATCTTTTGTGTCAAGGATAAGCGGAACCTCAGCCATATAATGGTGTTTTTGGTGGATGCGCTTAGATTGATTGATTGATCTGCACGGGGCCAAAACAAAATAAGATAAGAAAGAAATATGATGTCTTAATGGGCGTTTAATTTGTCTTTTGATTCGTGTGCATCTTTGTGAACCGATGATGTGCCACCAACCGTGATTGGTCTTCAAATGAGAAAAGAACGAACAAATATATTTAGTATCCAAAAAAAACATAATTAATCCAAGATTAGGTTACTAGGGGGTTATAATGATCACATAAATGAACAAATTTTCGTATGTTTTTAAGAAAATAATAATATTAATTCATGTTTTAAAAATGTATAAAACAAAAATATTATCTAAATAAGATAGGTAGAATTTAGTAGTGATTAAATGCCATATAAATGATAAAAAAATAGTTCTTATTTTATAGTCATTTTCTTGCCATTTTCTTTATGTGGATTTTTGGCAATGTGAAATTAATAAAGTTTTTATTAAGTGCATTTTATATATCTTATTTGTAAGGTAGTAAATTTTGTTTGTTTGCTTTTTTGATATTTAAAAAAGTTATAGAACATTCAAATAGAACCCCCGTGCAGTTTGGGACGCATTGGTAATTGTGGCTAGCCAGGCATGGAAACAATTACCACGTGGAACCTTTCGCTTACCTCGGAATGGTGGCCCTTCCCTCCTCCGGTATTTGCTGGTGGAATTGCGGGGTAATTTGCAAACGCACCAAAGCCCAAGCCCAAGTCGCTGGTCAGCAATGACGACCTTAATTAGCGGGCAGAAGACAGCCGAAGAGGAATCAAAGCCAAGAACAACAGAGCAGGTAATAGGCAAAACGCACTTGGGAGTTTGGCAACAGAGGGGGCAGGTGTGCGGTGGGGTAAGTGAAGCGTTCATCGAGTAGAAGAGCGCACCGCGAATTCTAGGAAACCAATTAATGCGCCACTCGAAGTCACATTGGTTGGAGATCCACGGCAAATGTTAAAAAACTTAGTCAAGTCCAAAAAATTCATGAATAACATGAATTTAAAACTGGGGCTTATTTTGACTACGTTTTTATCCAACCAAAAATGTTTAAGCCTATGATTATATCTTTGTTCCTCTTTTAAAAGTACATATTTACTTTACTTTAAGTTTCTTGTTTTTATTTACTATAAGCAAAGTATGTTCTCAAAATGTGCGAATAAGTTGCGATGTTCAGTAGTATCTGTTACTTATAATTTAATTATTCATAATTATACCCGTTACTCGTAGAGTAAAAGGGTATACTAGATTCGTCGGAAAGTATGTAACAGGCAGAAGGAAGCGTTTCCGACCCCATAAAGTATATATATTCTTGATCAGGATCACTAGCCGAGTCGATCTAGCCATGTCCGTCTGTCCGTCTGTCCGTCTGACCGTCTGTCCGTCTGTCCGTCTGTCTGTCCGTCCGGATGAACGCTGAGATCTCGGAAACTATGAGAGCTAGGCTATTGAGATTTGGCGTACAGATTCCTGAGCTTCTTACGCAGCGCAAGTTTGTTTCAGTAGACTGCCACGCCCACTCTAACGCCCACAAACCGCCCAAAACTGTAACTCCTACAGTTTTGATGCTAGATAGAAAATTTTAACTGAAATGTATTGTTCTCATCAATACCTATCGATTGACCTAAAAAAAGTTTGCCACGCCCACTTAAACGCCCACAAACCGCGAAAACCTGTGACGCCCACAATTTGCATGCTAGATAAAAAATTTTAACTGAAATGTATTGGTGTCGTCAATACCTATCGATTGATCCAAAAATAATTTTGCCACGCCCACTCTAACGCCCATAACGCTTAAATCTGTCTACCGCCGGTAGGTGGCGCATTTTAATTTCGCTTTGCTGCTTGCATATCTCCATTTCCCTTTGAGTAACGGGTATCTGATAGTCGAGGTACTCGACTATAGCGTTCTTCCTTGTTTTAAACTAGTATTTACTTGGTTAACTGTTACTGTTAAAGTAATATTTTTCTCCGTGAGTTCTTGTATTAAAAATTAATGCCAATCATTGATTTAGGTAAAATAACTTACTTTTAATTACAACTATTTATTTCGTTAGATGAATAAAAATGACTTGCAAATAAAAATATGGGTTCTTCGTTTTAGTAGTATAATAATAATATAAGAATAATTTATTCTCGGAAATCTTATACACTTTTAAAAGTAAAACTTGATGCAAATAACAATGATTAAAATTTATAGATTTATGTTGCCTTTAAATTAAAATTTTTACATATACTCTTTAAATATATGTAATATATATGTATGTATGTCTTTAAATATTTGTAAATGGGTATATGTATATATCTTTGCAATTCATAAAACTTCCCAGTTATACTAAGTTCTTATATTTTATTATTATATTATTTTTATTTAATATTTGGTTTGATATTCAAGTCTATGATTTCATATTTGGAAACCCCAACACTGGGTCTGCCATTTTCTTGACCTCCTCCATATTGACCCCCAACATAAGGCTCGCCGCCATAATTCCCAATATCACTTTGCTGTTGATGACCTCTGTGGAGCTTTATGCTTTCGTGGACGACATTACCAATAAATCCGAAAAGTTGATCCAGGTTTACCTCATCCGAGCCATGAAAATAGGTTGGATTGGGACTGCACAGTTGGATACCCCAAAGTGCAAAAAGTAAACCCTTCTGAATCAAATTAAAATGAAATATGTGTTCATTTTCTTTGTCGATCCTTAAGATGATACTCACCAACAACTTCATTGCAAAAGTGATTTTGAAATGAGCTTATTTTTATGTAGAAGTCGGACTTATAGGTTCTGCAAAGCAAATAAAGTAAAAAAATGCAGTGCTATCAGCAAGAGAAGAGTGTAAAGGGGGTCATGTGTATTTGGTTATTATTTTTGATTAAATACTTATAGTTCTTACTTTTCATGCACTCCATTTAATGAAATAATTTAATATAACATCAAATACAAAAAATATAAAAAGCTTAAAATCCAGTTTTTGAAAAATCTCATACGCCACTGAATTCAATACTATCAGTAATCATTCTTTTCCAACAACAATGGATGCCAAAGGTCTATTCAGGCCATTTCAATCGCCCCTGAATCAAAGACAACAGATTTCGTATCAGCAAAAGGTTTCCAGTCTACTTTTCATGGTGATTATTTGAGTTTATTATATTCCCTCGTTAAGAGCTATTGAAAAGAGACCTATATTTTCCTTATCAACAACACTTTTAAGCTTAATCGATTTCCTTATTACAGAAATAAATGAACTTTATGAGAATCTTAAAAAATCAACATAATATTTGTAAATTAAATGTTTAGTTTGGTAATTTGTAACAATAATGTTTTTGATAGGAACTAAAATTGTTAAGGGTTTATTTATGTTTCTAATGTTATTTCCCTTTTTTATTTTCGTCTAGTTTAAGGAGCTTTGTTACCCACTGTGCAAGGGAACTTGATGGACCCCGCACATCAATTGAGATATTATGAAATCCACTGCACTCCCCGTTTTCCACCTGCGAGTGCGTGCGGTCCGCGTTCGCTAATAGAGACGCATCCACACACACAGATATGTGCACATCCTTCTGGACCTCGCGCTGGGCTCAACGGACCCGAGCTGGGGGAAGTGAACTGATCTCAGCAGAACTGAGCCGGCATCACATAGCATTTGCCTTGTTAATGATGTGCCGTGTGCGCATTTAAATAAAGTGCCGCCCATTATAATGAGCCGAGTGCACCGCGTCCCAGTCCGCATCTTTAGGTTCCCCACCGTTACACTGGAATACTAATATTTTAAGGAAAGTTTTTCAATTCCCTTTCATAAAAAATACGTGTTACTTCAAATTGAAAACTCTATGGTTTTCTTTCCAAGTTCACCACAAAATTAGTAAGTCTAGTGAACAAGTCTTTTGAATTCCAATCCATTTTGTTAAATATTCACAGCTAAAAACTCGCAGTGTATTCCTTTTACCAACCTTTTGAAGCCATCGTTGTCGACATCTCAATCTCAACGTCATAAAGGAGCGGCAAGCTCCTTTCCTTCCAATTCCTGGCCTACGAATTTTGCATTTGTGTCCGTTTGTTGGCCCTGTTCGCGTTCTAAATGAGCGGCTCATAAAACGCGCTAAAGTTTGCACAAAGGGTCGTCGTTGACCACTGCCATATGAAACGCATAATTAAGGCTGCGAAACTCGCTCAACAGCAGACAGCCATTAAACAAGGGTGATCACTCTAACGATGGTTAAAAATGCATTTTTAATAGCCAAATTATTAACAGTGAATCGGTTTCACTGGTCGGTAGAAAACAACCTCTCATTTTTTCGGACTTCTAAGAGGTTAGGAACAACCTATTGAGAACTTCATCGATCCTAATTGATATTCAGTTCTTATAACTCTTATTTAGGTCCTTTTTCTCGTTCTCATGTTAAACTGAAAATAGGTTCTTAACTCCCTATTCCCATATATTTTCCAAGTTTAAAATAAAATGAAGTGGCTTATTGCTTATCAATATCTTATTTTTGTAAACCAGAAATTAGAGAAATGACTTTCTCGGTCGAATATTTTACTTAATATATGAGCATGTGTTAGATTGACTTCTTTTTTGAGTATTTACATCCTACCTAACGTACTACCTAACCAAAGGTCTAAATATTTCTAAAAAATATTTAATTTTTGAGCGACATGTAAAATTTAATAACTACAACAACATTTGCACATCACAGTCACATCACAAAATTCCCATTTGACATCAGGCGGAAGAGAAATATTATGTTTGTCTGCTGTTGTCTCAAGTCGCATCTTCAATAAAAAGCAAACATTTATCGCGCAGCGTTTTTCCACCGATTTACAGTCCACAAAAAAGAAAAATTAAATATTTTTTCCCTGTGAAAATGTGCAAATAGAAAGTTTGCCTCTGTCGCCCGCCGAATGCAATGAAACAATTAAGGCAGGGCGAGAGGACAGTGGGGCGGATGGGTGGGAAACTGAGGCAAAACTGCAAGCTCAGCGAAAGAAAGCAACCTTAATGACGGTGGGCAGTGCACAGTTTGGCGGGCACTGGGCCCCCATCCCGAGGTCTCGGGATCCCAGCCCCTTTTCTTGTGTGGTCGACAATTGACATAACATAAACATTTGCACTCGGGCATTTGGCCACAAACACACGCAATCGCAAATCGCCTAATTATGGCCCTTTGCGGCTCTTCTTCTTCCAGCTCTGTTGGCCCATTCAATCGATTCAAATGCCCGACAATCTTTTCAATTATTTCTTATCACCTGCGGGAGACCGAGACCCATGAAAATACACTGTATAAAATAAAATATAGTTGGTCTATGAAAAAGGTTTAGTAGAATTGAAGATTTAATTGTTCAATCTTTATAACTTTTTTCAAATATTTAATATTTGCTTGTAGTTTATTTTCTTGTTTTAGTAATAGTATTTTATTGTTTTTAGATGAAGAAGTAAATACAAAAATTGGTAGTGGAATGGTTTTTCATAAAAAATAAATTAAAAATTCGAATAAGCCATTATTAACTTTTAGTGTTAAGTTTCTATATATACCATTTGCAATAAGTGTAAATAAATACATAATGGTAGTGTTAGTGTAGATATTATTAAAAACTCACAAATAAATTTTAAAAAATATTTCTTGTCAAATCAACTGTGTATTTATCTATTCCATCTCATCTGCGCCATCTAAACAAATCTACAGCTTTCTCCCAGTGTAATTGCATGGTTCGCTGACAACATTGTTGCAAGTTTCCGACCAAGTTGCTAATGGCATCCGTCGATTTTGTTGGCTTTGTTTTTATTCTTCCTCTGGAGATGCTTAGCATATTTAGCTATTGGAGGACGTCGAACGATCCAATATCTTAACTGTCCCGACCAACGACATTCGATTGATATAAATTTGAGAAAATTTCTGACTATCACCACAATTTCCCCTGGCTATTTGAACTGGCCGGCTGCGTTGACGCCTGTATCATGCAGTTGCATATTTTCGGCTTAAAGCGAATTTTTCGCATTTATCCATCGTTTCCAACGTTTTTCGGCGGATGGCAGTTGTTTGATTAATTACCATGGCCAATGCGAAGGAAAATCGCTGTACGAGTTTCGTTCAGCGGGGCTTTGGCAAATTGTCCACAAGTTCCGGCCAAAAGGAAAAACTATTGACAAATGTCTGGCTGGGGAAAGGGGATAGAAAAAGGCTCGACTAATTTGCTGTTCGGTAAAATCCGAAGCTTTAAATTGGGAAAGTTGACCGGTTGTGGGGCAGACATTTAAGCATTTTGTTTAGGATTTGTTTCCTTTGATATTAAATCGCACGGATGAGATGAATATTGAGAAATTCACCAACATTCTATATTTATCTTAATAAATTTAATTTCTTAAATTTATGTTATCTTGTCTAAAATTTTAGAAATAAAAAACAAAGAATTTTTTAATCTGAAACTAAAAATAAATAATATAACCACTATTGTTAAATGTTTGAATTAACATATATCATCTATAGTTTTGTTTTAGCTCTTATATCTATCCCTAAATGAAGAAGATGTCACTGAAATTTTAGTTTCCCTTCATTCCATCATTATTTTCAACCATTTCAAAATTTAATTTACACATTGACACATTCCTCAGCCACTCTGAGTTCTTCAAACTTAGTATATACATAAGTCTTAGAAAAGTGAAACCACTCAGACCACTCGGTCTGATGTCTCCATAACCGTCTTACATCGATTCGATCGATCCACCGAGCCACTTGCACTTTCAGCATCGTCATTCTACTCCCGGACAACTTTCATCTTTCATCCCGTATCTTTTTCTGCTGCACTTTCGTTCAATCGGTCAACGCAACTTGGCTGCCGGTGAATCTGAATCTGTGTTTTTGTACCCCTGCATCAGTACACTCAAAAAATAACTTTAGTGATTTTTAAAATGTATGCTTTGACCTAAAAATATGAAATTGAAAAGGTATTTTATAAGATAAAAACTCGGATTCACATATTATTTCAAGTATTTTATATATAGTTTATCGACCATTATTTAATATCTTTCTTTCCGTGTACACTTGTTGCGTTGCATCGCCTTGGGGGCCACTATATGATGCCCGTCGATGGTAATTTGCATATTTTCCGCATGCGCAGACGACTCCAGTCGGCCAGTTTATTAAACAAAAATATTGACATGAAAATCGGCTTTCGATTTTCACGGGACAAATTGTGCGGCACAGTTGCACCACACTGAACCGCGTCGCACCGCCGAAACGAGATTAAATGGAAAGTGAAGTTGCACATGCGTCGCCAATCAAGCCGATGAAGCTCCGAGCCTCCAGTCCACCGCGGTCTTAGCCAACTCTTAGCCGCTCGCTCTGTCGTCTGTGTAATTAGGACAAAATGTCTAATGTTGACCAATGCCGAAAAAGTAAATACAACTCGGTCCAGTTTGGTTTCGTTTTACGCACCTTAATGATCATTTAGCGGTCGGTGTTTGTTGGCCATTTAACCGACGCGGCTTTAAGCCGATCAATCTGAGAGCAACTTTTACCCCGGCTGGGAAAGTTCTTCCATCACTCTGACCGAAGATGTCGCTCTACGGATTGTAAACAAAGGTGGAATGAGGGTTTTTGGCTTTTCTTTGGGAAATTCAGTTTCACTTAAACCGAAACTGAAAGTTTCCGCTTCTGGGGGATTAAACTTGGGATTAGTTTTCCAAATTCGATTTCTCGCCAAGTAGTAGGAATTTAAAAGAAAGTACCGTTGTAAGCAACAACAACAAATCATAGTTTTCTTTAATTTAAAAAGAACTGTGGGAC